GATACACACCCTTTTTTAATTTTTTTTTTTTTTTTTGCTTGTAATGGTTCTACCAGACATGTTTCTCTGCTCAATTATTTTGTTTTCTTTTCAAAATCACCTTCCATCAACTTTCAAATGTTTCACCTTGATGCAATAAATAGTAAGTAAATTCTTTTAAGTTATATCAGGATTACTTTAAAAATGGGAAGTTTCAGAAAACAGGATCAAAAATATTTCCTTTAATGCTTTTCTACTCTTACCTACACAATTAAGAGGCTAAAGCAAAAAAACAAGCCCTCCTCTTTTTCAAAAAATGGAAGAAAATGTAATTACCTTTGCCTATAAGGACACCTATTTTGGAATCCAACTTTTCTCCTGGATCGCAGTTCCTTGTCACTAGTTTAAGGACGGGAAGAAAGGGTCTAACATCACAAAGTCTCCGAGTTTCATCTTCTAGCTCTTCATGCACAGCAGTCTGATTCACACATGAGAACATGTAAGAGTCGATCTCCATGAGGAGATGGAAGAGCGGGTATGCATGTGCTTGCTTCCATAACAGCTGCAAAAAACAGACCCAGCAATGAAGGCAACATCAAAGTTCCTTTATGTCCCCCCAAGAATCTTAAAATCAAATGGCTTAAGTGTAAAATGTTTGCTATATTCTCTATCCAGCCCCACAGTCTCCTAGCAAAACAAACTCTCAAGACACTGGCACCTTGTTTTTGTTCTTATATATTACCTCAATCTCAGTCAGGATGAGCAATTTAAATAGAAGTCCTCATCAGAAAGCCTCTAGGAGTTTCAAGTAACAGAACCATCAGATGAGTAATCTCTTTACATAATCTGTAGTGGTGCATCTCATCAGTAAGGAATACTACTTACGTAACACATGGAATAGTTGTACTTAGAAAGGATGTTAAAGAAAAATCCCACATACCTGTTGCCAGTGACTAAAAAGTATCAGTTCTTATTTGAATGAATAGAATGAATCTTTATTTTTGTAAACTCACTTTAATGTTCTTTTTTTCCTTACAAAACTCAAATTTTAGTTCTGCAGGTCCCAAATGCCCAGTTTGCCTGCAATTAGTTTAAAAGAGTTTTATGTCAAATCAAAACAAGGCACAAATTTCCAGAGTATTTTATTTTTGTTAATGCTACAGCCATACACTTAAAATGGCTCTAACACTAACACTTAACCCACATACTTAAAATAACCTGAAAGCCCTCAAATAGCTCTTTATTCTGAAAACCACACACAAATACAAATGCAGGTAGAAACTCTTGCGGCTCTTGCAGATACACGTAGGCTTGTGGTTAGTACAATTCGGACTCAGCTACTTTTTCCAATTTGTTCATGATTTTGTTGTTGTGATGTAAACGCAAACAAGCCCCCAAAGGATGGTCTTGTTCATCACTGCAATACTGTCAAGAAACTCACTTGAGATGAAGGTTGGAACCCACTCCTGAATAAAGAATTCCCCTGTATGGACATAACCTTTTACGAACACAATCATGACATGCTTCCAGCGGGAATTATTTTAAGTATTTGAGTACACGAAACTTCCTGAGTACATGAAACTTGTTTGTTGGATCACTGCAATTATTAGAGGCACTCTCATGTCTTTTAAAATATAAGTGGTTCACTTGATAAAAAAATATTTTGTCACCTACAAAAATTTCATCTTACAATTTAAAACTACTACTGATATGAAGAAAAACCCCCTATAAATACACAGCGGTGGAATATGTTGTACATGTTTAGCAAGCACTGCAGTGACCTACCACCTTTATTGCAAGTCTGCCAGCTCCAGGCACAGATTAACCTGCAGCTTTAATGCCTTCCAATGGCCATTATCTGATGGCAGCTCTGCAGATCATCACCAATTACTTCCTTAGGCCCCAAAAAAGGGGCTGAACGACTGCATTAGATCTCCTCCAGATCAGTGCATCCTGTACACAACAGAGGTTTCTCCCCCTTCCACCCCACCTGCATTAGTGATGGTCCATTAATGTTTTTAAGCCTAGAGGCTAATGAATTAACAACCTAAACTGCATTTTCCCCTAAAACCATCTTAGTTCTTGTAGCTAGAGTCATAGAGTCTTGGCTTTCCTATGCTCCATCTCCACTACAATGTTTAACAAGCCCAGAGGCAGAATTTTCATACAAAATCTCACATCAAAGTGATCAAAGTCACTTACAACTCTTCAGGAAAACAGGTGCCAAAGTGTGTGTTTGTGTGTGTGTATATATATTTTTAAAAGAAACACTTTAGGTTCTTACAGAACAAAAATGGCAGTGCTTTTGGGGCACACTGTACGTAAGTGACCAACCAGCATAAGCTTGTAAGAATTCTTTGTCAGGAACGTAATAAATAAATAAATCATATTGTTAAACTTTATGCAAATATTTTTTGCATGTTAGCAGGAATAATAAGGCTTTTTCCATTTATTTCTTATCACTTTATTACCGAGTGGCATACCCAATAACAAGCTTTATCCTCTCTGCATATCAAAAGAATTTGGATATAAAGTAGTTTGCTTCAAGATGTACAATAAAATCCTACACATACGCAGGCAGATACTTATTACATCATGTAAAAAAAAAATTCCTTGGATTAAGGACTAAATTTGAACTTCTCAGCTGCCAGGACCTACACATGCTACGTATTACAACAGGCCTAAAAATCTCTTAACAGAAATTTGTACTCAGGAAGGAATAACAAGGATTTATATTCCTAAATTAAAGCAGACAGGAAAGGAACAGCAAAGAACCTGCAACTCATTCTGATGAAAGAGAGAAAGAGGAGTTTTTTTTCCTGAATGGCACTTTTCATGAAAAAAAGAAAAAAGAAAAAAAGAAGAAAAAAAGTGAGGATGAATGCAAGGATGACAATACGGATTTTCTGCCAGGAGAAAGTAAAATGGGACCAGACTGAAAAAGCAAGACAAATCTAAAAGCTAAGTGAACTCTGTTAACACTGGCTTCATATTACCTACCTACAATAACCATCTCCTAACGAAAGGATGTTAGACAGTTTTAGGAGAGCCTATTTTATGGTCACCAACTTCTGCATCCGAGAAGCTTTAGCACTACGAGGATTTTCAATATTTACAAGTTTGGAAGACTTTCTTTTACTCTTTTAAATACTTTTACAAGCCAAAAGCTGTCTCACACACTGTTCAGAAAGGAAAGGTGGGCTCTTGCTAGCAATGCCAGGAAGCCTCTTTGGGATCCTAGGCAAAGTTCCATACCTTGCCTACCCTGGCCACTGCTCCACATAATTCATCACAGAGGCAAATGATTTTAGAACCAACAACTGAAAATATATGATAAAATCTGAAAAAATCTTTCTTCAAATACAGCAAAGGGTCATTCAGAAAGCTTATAAAGCACTAATTCAGCTGGGGCCCCTCTGCTGTGACAGGCTTTCAGAATAGGAATATATATAAATTTATCCTTCAGTCTTGACTGGAAGCCTTCACAGGTGCCTGTTTAGCCTCATCAATTTAACTTCCATTATCTTCACTGTCAAAGCAGCTTAAATTCAGACCAGAATTTTACGTGCAATTCAGGTCAGTGTTGCAGTCCGTGAGCATTAGGAGCAATGAGAGTGCAGAATATTGGTTACCATTATTCTAGGTTATCCTCTAACTGGGTATTCAAAATACTCCAAAACCAAGAACAGACCCGACCCACTGTTCTAATTTAAAGAACAAAACATCTTAGAACTTTAGAAATCAAATTTTATTAATTCCATCCTTTTACAATTATGCAAGATATTGCCTGGACAAACTATGTGAAAAGCTGTCCTTCAAAATACAGAATCCACAATATCACATCCCCCCAAAATTGAAGCCATTTTAAATAAAGAATAAAAGAGAGCTGCTCTTTTAAACACCGGAACATTAAAGAAAAACGTTTTGAGAATAAACAGAAGTATTTCATACTTCATTACTGAAAAACAAAAGAAACCCCCCCAAGCACCTAGCACTCTTTTTAAAGTGGTGCCCTAACAAGCAACTTGTACATAAACTTCCAAAAAGTGGCACAGATAGTTCTCAGAATATCCGTCTTTAGATTCTGCTTCTTCTAGTAGACACAAAATATGTAACTTTTGTATTTAAAATCAATTTGGACACTGTCTCTCCTGTTTCATATTAATCAGAGAAACATTAAATACACATGTAGAATATATTATTGATGCATTAAAAGATTTATTATGTAGCTGAAGTGCATCTTTCAGAAAGAAGCTATTCTGAATCTCACTGTTATGCTCCCAGATACACCAAGACATAATGTTATACATGCCCATCTTGAAAAATTATTTTGATACATTCACTCAAATTTATCACCTGCTTTTCATAAAGGCACATCAAAACCGGTAACAGAATTCAAATTGATTAGAACTTAACTTGTAATTTAATTGTCCATTTGGTTTTACCTGCTTAATATGAGATATGGTGGCATCTCGAGGGACATCGAGGTTGATGTAGATTCCAGTGGGCAATAGGAAGTCCACAGATATGGAGCCATCAGCACCAATCTGTGAATCCACTGCCCAGATGTCAAGGCTGTCTGTCACTGCAGGAGGCATTATGGAATCTCAACAATATCATAGCCACATGACCTTGGGGAAAAAGAATAAAATCCAAATTCAGTATGTTTAACCTTCTATAATTAAACACACATTTTAAAAGTCTTTGGAAAGTTCACGTAAGCCTCCTTGTGCAGCTCCACTCGCACGTCTGGGGTCTCAGATGTCAGTATTGCAAACAGGTATATAAAGTTTCAGTCATTACCTCTATATAGCATAGCAATAATACTTGTCTGGGCACAGTACTTCTGTTTAGGTGTATATATGATTAAGAAAAACAAACAAACAAAAAGCTGAGGCAACCCAATACATCAGCCAAGCTATTTCTGTTTCAAATAATAGTCAGAAACTTCTATAGGAACCATTAAAACTTCCAGATGAACACAAAACAATCAAAACAATTTGTGAGAAGACAGATCATCTGCTATGCATTCTATAAAGTTAAACATATAGGCAACACATCTACAAATAAAGGTTTTCAAAGCAATTTGGAATTCTTTTCACAGAGCACAAAAGCCCACAGTTGCACACACAGCTAAAGCCCAGCAGACCAACTACATGATTTTTCACAAAGGGGCATCATTCTCCTTGCTCTAGCGCTTCTTCCACCCCTCTTAAAAAAAAAATCCAATAACTTCATTTAGAAAAACTCAAAACACTATAGGCCAATACTGTGATATGCAGCAGCTAATGCTTCATTTATGAAAAGCTAAATTTGCTTGACAGTGCAATTTCACATAAATTGAACTCAAATTTATGTGCAACTCACATAAATTTAAAACTCAATTAAAACTGGAAGTCCTTTAAATCAAATCATCCACTGTCATATAAATCATCATCATCTTTACTGACAACAGGGACACAGAAGTGGTGCCTTGGCAAAGTTTCTTCTGCCCAATACTCAGAGCCTGCATTGGAAAAAGTAAATAAATCAATAAAGATAGGGCAAAGCTGAGCATGCCTACAATGAACAACATACGCCAGTAGCACAAAAAACCTAAAACTTATTATAGTTAAGCAAGCTATTAATATTTTGTAAACATTAGAATAAAGTCTGTTGAGGGGCAACTAGTTTACTGGGTTTTTTTGTTGTTGTTGTTTAAGAAATAGAACCATTGAAATTGCCATGTTAAAATATCCTAAATACTCAGAGCTGCTCTTTGCCCCCACAGCTGTGGGGCTAGCAGCTTGCCAGGGAAAAGCTGCCCTACATGAGCCAGGTGATTTCCAAGCCTTTCCCTTCAGCCTTACAGAAGGTGTCAGCACCCAAACGCGGCTGCTGACAACCTGCTACCACACCAAAGATGTGGCTGCTCTTTAGTATTGTGCTTGTACTGGATAAAACAGCAGCAGCACAAAAGGCTGTAACTTTCAGAACATAGAGGCACGTAATAAAAAAACTCTACGCAATAAAGAAAAAGTTGGGAGCTCCTGTTATCATCACTATTGAATAACACATTGTTTTCATTGGCTTCTGATTTACAATAAACCCCCTCTGTTGCATCAGGATGAACCAAAACAAGAAAGACTTTTTTTTTTTTTTCCTTTGGTGGGTGGGATAGGGTAGAATAGAGCTGGTGACAAGAACAAGCCAGGCAGGAAAATGTTTGATTTTGATTATCAGATCTTTACAAATCCTTCTCTTCATTCATCAATGGGTGTGAAAAGTTGAGCACTGAGACTGGTATCTTAATTTCTGTTGTAAACAAACCAACCCTAATCTGTCATGTAACACAGAGCACACTACCAGCATAACCTGGCATCTGCTTGGAAAATCTTGAAGAAACAAGTAGTTAGACACTACAAATCACTATTTTTCGTAAGATATTAACATGTGGTATCATTTGTTCTTGCTCATTCCACTACTTCTCCCTGTAATATCGTGGGTGCAGTTTTGTTGCAGCTGACAACAGCAGTTACAGAAGAGTCACTTGAGCGCTGCAGAACAAAAGCTTTTTCATACTTGCATGCGCACACGCAGCGAGCCTGCTCCTGCGGTCACCACTGCGAACACAGCGCTAGGGCCAGCCTGCAGCACGCGCTTAATAGGTGCAGCAGCCGGGAGAGTAAAAATTAACTGCTCCATGTGGTTATTCCAGTCACAGGCACCCTAATTCCTCTTATTTTCCTGTTATTTTGGATTTTTTCTGTAACATTTGCAATTGTTGAAACTGCTTGAGCACTTCCGTGAGTTTAAGGCATTAAGTATGAAGCTGCATAGCTTAGTAGGTAGAAAACACAAAATAGAGTTATAAGTTATTATTAGAAAGTTATTTACAACTGCTCACTTTCAAAACAGACATCAGCCACTCCTTAATCCTATCTGCCTTTTCAGCAAGCAAGGGAAGAGCCGCCAGCCTGAGCGTGCTGGGAAGCAACCCTTGCCCTTCAGGTACTCGATACCCCCTTCCACAGCGACGCCAGCCTGAGCGTGCTGGGAAGGAACCCTTGCCCTTCAGGTACTCGTACCCCTTTCCACAGCGACAGGTCGGGTTTTTTTTGTTGTTGTTGTTTTTTACAGGGAGTGTCTAGTCATGGATGTGGTTTCCACCAGCACCGACGTCACTGGGGTCAAGAGGGAGCAAGTCTTTATACCGTGAACACGAGGCGGCTCCGAGTGACTCACGGGCTGGCCTGTAAACGCGCAGCGGCGCCGACACCGCGAGCGCCCGGGCAGAGACTGCGCCCAGGCAGAGCCATCGGCATCACAGCAGGAGCCGTTCGCAACAACTGCCAGCGCGAGGGGGAAAAAACAAGCACAATAATAATAAAAAGCTATTTCGGGCTTTCTACCTCATGACTATGCTTGTCTATTGTCATTGTGGAAGCAACTCCTCATGCAGGAGGAGGAAATCATTAAAAGAGGGCTTAATCTGGGCAATTCAAGTATCTGATCAATTATTATTTAATAGTGCCACAACTCAATCTTAAATGCTCTTCTAAATTACAAACATGTAATTAAGTTAAGAAACTTCCTATAAACGCTAAGTGATCTTTCAGCTATGTACTTCAAATTGTTTTCAAATAATATGTATACATATACACATATATGGCCCCAAATTGCTCTATTTATTTCTAATATGCCGCCAGACCTGAAAAGAGTTACTAAGATACATAGATAGAAAAGAAAAACAGACTGGTAGAACATCTCCAGGAAAAGAAAAAGGAAATCTAACTGCCATCTTTGCACTTACATGTCTAAAGCACACAAGCAAGGAGCCCTGGAGCCAGCTGTATCAAGACAGCCAGCTGCAGTTTTTCCATCCATGGAATTACATACCTTGTACACGAACAGAGTGCTAAGGCTGAAGTGGAACAAGGGGCACTTCAAGTTTTCCTCGCCTGCACAGTGAACCTCCACGCAGGGCCACACAAGGGTTTTTGTGAGGCACCCCAAGGCAGGCTGTGCAACACTGAGCAGCGCCACGCACTGCACTGCGAAGGGGAAGGCTCCGTCCTCCCGTCCCTTCAACCCGCTCTGCGCTGCCCACTCCTGTCTCCAAGCCAGCACACACCAAGCCCCTTCATACACAGCTACACCTGATTATTCAAGTAGAAACCACACAATTTTCTGTCAGGTTATTGAGCTGAATCCAGCCACAAGGGCTCTAACGAATGCCCCAGCTCACAAGGGGGAAGGGAATGGACGCAGGGCCTGCCCCCCTCCTTAGCAGCAGCCTCCACGTTCCAGGCAGCCAAAGAAGCCTCAAGGTGCAAGTTTACAGCTGGTTGCACTGATGCAAGGTCATGCTGCCCTTCCTGCTCAAGATGCTCTTCGGGCCACGTAAGCACCAGGGTAACCCTGCTGTCAGCAGGATGGCACAGCTCTCAGCTCACCTTGGGGCTTTTTTTCCTTCCCCCTCCCCAAGCAGAGCAGCTTTCTAAGCAGGCACAGTGCAGGGACACAGAAACCCAGCTGGCAGGAACAGGGCTGCATCAGCCCTTTGGAGTCATTAAGCTGCAGTTCCAACCAGGTGTTTTCAGCTGGGAGAGCCACCAGCCCAACAAGAACAACATCAAATGCCAACAATGAGTACTTAACAGCCACTGAACTGCTGGGTAAAGGCAGAGAGAGGGAATCAAGGGAAACAGACCTTAGGCAGAGCAGATGAGGCAGCTGGAATGATTTATTTTGGAGCAGAGGCTCAGGGGAGGCCTTATCGCTATAACGACCTGAAAGACGACTGCAGTGAGGCAGGGGGCCATCTCCAGAATAGCTTCCGGTAGGACAGGATGAAATGGCCTCAAGTTGCACCGAGGAGGTTCGGGTTAGATATTGGGAAAGATTTCTACACAGAGGACAGGTGAAGCACTGGAGCAGGCTGCCCAGGGCAGTGGTGGAGTGACTGTCCCTGGCAGTGCTGAAGAAATGTGTAGATGAGGCATGCAGGGACATGGTTTAGCAGTCCTTGTGGGGATGGGTGTACGGTTGAACTTGATGGTCTTAAAGGTCTTTTCCAACCATAATGACCCCATGAAGCGAACCATACAGCAAGTTAAAGATCACTGATTTCTTCGGCAAATACTCTCTGCCCTTGTCACTGTTCAGCAACAGACCAAACTGCCCCATCGCAGAAGCAACATAAGCTGATTTTACCTTCATCATGCATTTCTGCAGTATGTAAGGATGTTCTCTCCCCCTGAACACTGCCACCTCTCTGCACGGCAAACACCAGACAAGAAGCATGTGTGTCTGGGCTATACATACAGTGTAGGTACAAAAACCTCCGTACGTACAGTGTACGTAGCCCAAGGAGTTACTGCCTCAAGGCATTAACAACATTCGGCTTATGGAGACTGAATGAATTCTGAAGCTAAAATTCAATTCATAAATTGTAATCCACGTGTAATTCCAACAAAGATACAAAACAGAATTAGTGTATACCAAAAAAATATATAGCTACTTATTTACAAGGAAGAAATGTAGGAAAGTTTGAAGTTCTGAACAGCAGGCTAAAACTAAAAGGAGTTGAATGTTTTTACACCCTTTTATATTGTTTCTCCTCTTTCTGTCATCACCTCTTAATTCTCCA